GGCATTCTTTTGTAAAAAACAAACAAAAAAGAAATGCCCATTTCTACGTTGATGAAAAAGGTAGTGAATTTCTAGCTGGAAAACGCCTCAAAGCCAACCACCATGTGACCTATAACCTGAACAATATAGATCACGCGACGACCGCATTTAGAGTTTAGTGGGAAAGATACCAGTAGACTTCATGTTGACCTCTACTATGGTGTGGGTTGCACCGTTTGTCAGTTATCCCACATTCTCCAACCAAAACAAAACTTCATGTATGCACTTCAATCAAGAAAATTCTAACTTCTATCCATCAAAGTTGTGCCACATATGTTAACCGGCATTGCAAATCTTTTGAAAGACATGTGGTTCAGCGTTTAAGCAACATGCAGTGTTGCATCACCTGGAACACGGAATGAGGATGTATGTGATCGAACGGATGCAGTCTGAATACCACCACACTTTGGATTAGACCTTGACGAGGATCTGCGTAGCTGTTCTAAAAAAGTTTGTGTGAAAAAAATCTTCAGCAAATGTATTTTATCCCTCTTGTTCCGTGTCAAAAAAATATCCGTGGATTTCACGGAAAAATCTGAAAACCTTGTCTACCGCGAAATGTTATTGGGATAAAGAATTTACTATCCTGTTATATAATTTGTTTTTATTGTCGCGCCTATTCTTCGAAAGCTTCGGATTTTATCTTGTGAGAAAATTAGATGATGCATTCGCAACATTTAGTACCAAATATACGACCTTAGTGTCTTGCCAGTCGCTTTTCCTACCATCCCTAAAAATACACCGCCTCAGATCCGGCTGAGTTGTTGCGGTTCAATCAGAAATGGTGACTTGGAATTTTTCGTCTTCCGTGCACGAATCGTGGTAAACTTGTAAGTGAATGCTACGAACCGTTTCTACCCACCTTAATCTGATCTCAGGGAGATCAAAACGGACATCAGTTATTTCGCCTCCCATTTCACCCCCAAGTCCCAAATATCGTGATCGTTGAATCGTCCAGCTCTGAAAATCCTTCCTTGCCGTGCATTCTTCTGCCATTTCTGGACAGTGCTTGCACACTCCACAATCCATTTTCAGGCTTTCGCCTCCTGTAAGTAAAAAGCTATCCGACTCGGTCTTTCGAAAGGTTGCTTGTTTAAGCTTTTCACAATCCATTTGATCTATTTGGCTTACATGTATTCCACCGTTACCAGTGTGTAAATGAATTGCCCAAAGGGCCAAAAATATCGGCAGCATAGCTGCGCGGAAACATATAATCCTTTTAAAGTTCCGCGTTCAGGGTGCACCGGTTGTGCGTGGTAATGGAAACCATGGCCTCACAGCCATAGCTAGGTAAGTCACTTATTCTGGCCGCATATCTGGGAACAGAAGGACAAATCGGTGCTTCACCAGTCGTAGTTGTAGGTCCTGAGAGAAGTAACAGTGCTTTAGCTTGAAATTTATTACATATGGGTTGTTTAATCGGTTCTTTACCTACTGTAGAACAATTCACAGTCTAATCCATTTGGCAGAAGTCACAAATTGAGGTGTTCTGGATCGCACTCCTCGGCCTCGAAGAGGTTATGTGCATTTATCCACCATAGTCTCTGAGATCATGTGGGAGCAGTTTTCAGAAACCTCCATCATTCAATCCCTTTTAAACACATTTCAATCCTACCAGCCACCCCCAAACTTAAATTCATAATGATTGCTGCTCACACCAGCAGGCACCTCACCGCCTTCAAGATATTGTCTTACAGAGTGGATAAAACATGATATTATGTCGTCTGGTGGCGATAGAATTACCCCGGAAGTTCTTAGCTTTCGTGTAATAACAGTTCAGGTGGAGTAATAGTAATATAAAGGAGCCCGACAGATAAGTGATATTCAAGAAGGGAATCAAATATTAAGGGCTGATGGACGACAGTTGAAAGAAGGTGAACGCTGTGGCATCTTTAGAGCACAAGTGAGTAGGTGCAACTTATTTCGTCCGGAAGATTGACCTAGAACACAAGCTTTTAGGAGGGGAACTTACCCTCTGATAGCTTGTTCCTCCATGCTGGGGTAGTCTGGTACCCCGACCCGGGGGCCAGGTCTTGTAGGAAAGAATGGAAGACCGATCAGCTTTCACGTATTAGAACGGACCCTGTGTGTGCACGACACACCCTCGAGGATTGCGGCTTTCTAAGGGGACTTGTTCTGATATGGAAGTGTTTTAGGTTATACAAATAACGGAGGAAGTAATGACACAAAGGTTTTGTAGGTAAGCGCAATATGCGGCCAAGCATCGCCGAAAATCATGTCAGTTGAAGAACGTCCAAGTGCAGTGAATCTAATGGGCCGGTTTGCTTATCTAACCCTATCGAACGATCCATGCAGTTTACACTGAAATAAACAAGAAATTTGTGTTACTAAATGTGCAGGAAAAGTACAATGGAGTTGAATGGCTTACCTAAAGCGAGCAATCCCATGTCACCTTACTACCAGCAACTTGATATCTCCAGTTCATCACCGGTTTCCCCCAAACCGGTCTTGCGCGACGAACATGCTCGTATATGTGGCCTAATTTCTGGTGCCATGTTTTTCGGCTTCTTAAACGTATTCGATGGAGTCCCAAATGTCCCGCTGCCCTACAAACTCAAGTCTTACGGGTTTCAAGGGAAAGTTTTACCCTGGATCAAGCCGGTCCCATCAGGCAGAACAATCCGAGTGAAAGGAAGCTCTACCCATCCTTCCCCGGCGCCAGTCCCCATTGGAGCTTCTCAAGGCTACGCATTCGGACCAATGCTGCTTCTGACTGACATCTTCCTCGGAATGACAAAAAGTGTTTCTATGTGTCATCTGGAGAAGATTCGTCGAACGCATGTATCGGGCATGGAAACAACGGCCCAGAAGATATCATGGGGCCAGATGCCAGAGGATATGGGTGACGTATATAGCTCTGCGTGGGTCTTATTTTGTTGGTCACGCATAGGGCCCTTCTTCGTTCTCCCTACACTGTCCTTACACCTGGTGTTTCGTCAGTCGCTTGACAAGGGCCGCTTCCCTCTGGATAGAAGGAGGCGATTGTCACGCCAATCTACAAAACCGGTGACTAACTATCACCTGGCAGCTACAGGCCTATTAGCCTCACTAGCGTGCCATGCAAGGTGATGGAACGCATTCTGAAGTGACCTTTCTTAGACCACCTTACTTCCAGCAACCTGATATCTCCATCTCAACACGGATTTCTCCCAAACCGCTCTTGCGTGACAAACATTCTCGCGTTTATGGACAGCTCAACCCAAGCCACGAACGAAGGACTCATTTCGGATGCCATATTTTTTGACTTCCCAAAAGCATTTGATGGGGCTTCACACGTCCCGCTGCTCCACAAACTCGGGTCTTACGGGATTCAGGGAAAAATCCTTCGCTGGATCAAGGCGTTCTTATCAGACAGATCCTTCCGAGTGAGAATAGGCTCGACCTACTCCTTTCCAGCGCCCGTCTCCATTGGAGTTCATCAGGGATCCGTCCTGGGACCACTGCTGTTTCTGATCTATGTCAACGACCTCCAGACGTTCTTGCGAGTCAATCTCTACTTCTTGCGGATGACTTGAAATCCTGGAGTTCCAATGTCAGTGCCATTCAAATGTATGTAGACGCTGCCTAGTTGCGGTCGTTGGACTGACACCTCCCACTGGATGACGAAAAGTGCGTCCATATGTCGTTTGGAGGAGGCTCAGCGGAAGCCATTGTTATGCATAGTGAGAAAGGACCAGAAAAGATCATTAGGATAGATGCCAAAAAGGGTTTGGGCATCTGGATCTCCTCAAACTGGTCCTTCACACTGCACCATGAGAAATCGGCCCAAAAGGCATTCGCCATTTTACGGATGATCCGATGCACCTTCTCCCGTATTACTCGCATGGACTTCCAAATACTCCATGGAGCCTGCGTCAGACCGCTCCTGGAATACGCTAACTAAGTTGTCCACTCAGGAAGCACAAGAGACGTCACATTCATTGAGCGCGTTCAGCGAGCCGCTACGAGAATGGTTGCCGGCCCCAAATCCGTGGACTGCGAAACGCGTCTCGCGATGCTTGGTCTCCTTCCCCTGGAGTACCGTCGCCTCCGAGGGGAACTAATTCTTACTTATGCCCTGTTTGAGCAAAGCTTGGCAGCTAGGTTTTTTACCGTTGAACTAGCAAACACACGGCGGGGACATGGTCAGAAAATTTTCAAGATCAGAGCACACACATTCATTAGACAAAATTTTTTCTCATTTCGGGTAGTAGCTGCGTGGAATGACCTTCCTCCGACGGTTGTTCATGCTCCTTCTAGAACACAGTTTAAAGAAATATAGACAATTATTAATGCGAATCCTCGTGCTGGCGAGCATACTCCCCGCGGTGAGAACACAAAGAGCAGTACTACACCCTGTTTTCTCTTGTGCCTTTCAGGTGAATGACAGCCCATGACCGACAAGAACAAAGCGATCCGGGAATCTTGGGCCATAGCCTTGATCCTGTGTACCAATCCGTGAATCGGTGTGTCTGGCGCTCTTCAAATATGTCCTCAATTTACCATGAAAATTGGGCCCAAAAGGCATGATTCCGCGCACCTTCTCCGGTACTATCTCATGGACTTCCAAAAGCTTTACGGAGCCCACGTCTCATCGCTTCTAGAATATGCTAGTCTATTTGTCTATTCAGGAGTCACGAGGGACTTGATCCTCATCTAACCTGTCATGCTAGTTGCTACGAAATCGGTTGATGTCTTGAATTTGTGGACTATGCAACACGTCTCGAGGAGCTTGACCTGTAGATCCAGTAGTCCACTACACCGATCCAAATGCAGTAACTGGGTGTGAAAGGAAATATTCACTTGTCGAAATT